AGCTGTTTTTTAACTGTCTTGAATTATTTCCCTCCACGAATGGGGATAAGGTGGGGGGGACCAAGACGAGAAGAAATAATTACCAGGGTGATAAATTCCCTGTTGGACAGAAAAGGAAAAAAGGAATATTTCACTCCGTCATGTCCAAATTGTTCTACCTTCCTTTGTACCTTTGTCATAGGGGGAATGGAAGCAAATCGGCAGGATTGGGGAGAAGCGGGACAGGGGGGAAAGGCGAAACAAAGAAAGGTGGGACGACGAAAGGGATAACTCATTCGAAGGATGCTATAACACAACGAGGTGAAGAGAAAGAAACGCAAGGAAACAAAAGAAATAAACTTAGCTTATTCTTAAAAAAGTCGACAAAAAAAACGAAACTCTCCTCTGATAAGTACAATTTGTGCGACACGCTGTTCCTCTTTAATGACCTTAAAAATTACATTATCCTTGAAAACAGAAAACACTTGTTTGATTCCTTCACAGAGCAAAACTTTTCCTCCATCATAATAACCCCCCTGAACATCCTTCCAAACGTTATTATAAAAAAATACTTTGGAATTATTTCCATGCACATCGTGAAGGAAAATGTTAACCTCAAGCAGTTTGATGTTTTTTACCAAAGCATAATATCGGATATTTTATTTATTGCCAAGTCTCACATTAAGGCCATCGGGGCCAACTTAATATGTTCCTTTAAGATCACCAACTTATTCATGCGCGAGGAGAGGTCGCACGCCTACGCGCTGATCAGCATTTGCGGCGACGTCGCCAAGATTTGAAGTCGGGGAAGCACAGGAAAAAAAAAAAAAAAAAAAAAAAGGGAAAAAAAATATCCCCTCAAATAGTAAAGTATAGCATAGTATAGTGTGTGTGTGTGTGTGCATTTTCTCCACGAGGGTGGTGTGTTACCACGGGTTGGACACCCTCACTGTTGAAAAAGCAGTTGATAGGAAGTGACATATGGCGGAGGTACATAGTCCCTTACGGGTTGTTTTGTTCGGGAACATGTCCAGCGTTGGCCCGTTCTCTCCCGCATCATCTGTCTGTTCCAATTTGCACCTTTTCATTCCGCCATTCCAGCCGCTTCGCCCCTGGGGCGTCGCATGAAGTACTCACCCGTCTCCATCTGTATGTCAATTTTTCGAGGCAGTTGGTCTGGCGGGAACACGGACTTCTCCTCCTTCTTCGCGCCCTTCTTCTTGTCCAACTTTTGTTTAATTTTTTTCCTCTGTACATTTCGCTTCTTAAAATTGGGGAGAAATTTCTCCCAGTTTTCATTTTTAAACTCTTCATTTTTTTGTAATTCCCTTTTAGCAATTAATTCTTTAATGTGATAAACGGGGTGGATGTTCTTCATGCAGTCGACAATAATCCTCCTGACCACCTTGAGTGCCTTGAAGTATCCAATGACGCTGACCGTTTTTCCATGAACACAAATATAACAGTTGGTTAATATTTCAAGTGCTTTTAACGTTGTCCCATTGCTTCCTAGCAACCTCTGTCTACGTTTAATAAATTTATTTCTGTTTTTTACATAGGTGCTAATTTTTATAATATCACAGAACGTTTCGTCGTCTAGTACTCGTTTGGCATGAGTGAAGGGGACACTCCTCGAAAGCAGGGAAATCATATCCCTTGCCTTTATTATAATATAAGGGTCAAATGTTTTTTTTGTAGTTTTTACACACATGTAACCCTCAATTAAGTTCATTTCAAATTTAATGAAATGATTGTTTAATACATTTTTTATATCTGTGCTGAACTGTTGAAGATATTTTTCTCGGTACTTGGGGAAGAGTACCTTGAAACTGGACTCCTCTAGGAAGTGGTGTTTATTGTCTTCCCTTGTGAATTTTTCTATTTTCCAGTGGTCTATGTTTTCATTGTCCCATGGTTTATCCTTCCTGTACTTTCTTTTCCCTCCCTCCTGCTTGTTCTGGGTCGCTTCCTCCGTCGCCATGGCGGGGCGGCCTAACTGCAGGCACTGCACTAATTTTGAAGCAAATGAAGTAGAGCCCGAGTATAAAAATGGGCCTTTTTAACTGTCCCGATTGGGAACAGCCAAGAGAGATATCCTACCGTAAGATAGGGTATAAATAGTAGCCCCCCTTCCGTGGAAAAGTCACCCAGTTGCGGGGCGGCCTCTTTCAAATGTTTTTTACTCTGCTATTTGGTTGGGCCTGGATCTCCTCTGTATTGCTTACCAAGTTTGCCTCTTCTACAAGATGGGGGCACAGAGAGAGACTACGTCGTCCGCCCATCCCACGCTTGCATAACGCATTGCGGCATTGTTTTAAAACTCACGCGGAAAACACGTACGTATGCATTTTAGGACGGCCACAAACTGTCATGAAGTAAAACTCTTTTTTGTAATGTACTTTTTTTTTTTTTCCTCTCTCTCTTTTTTAATATTCCCAAGTGGGCTCGCAATTCTCGAAAAAAAAAAAAAAAAAAAAAAAAAACAACGAAGTTAAACCAAATTGATTGGCTCTACTTTTCAATTTGTCACGGTCACGGTGTTTTTTGGCATTTTTTTTTTTTTTTTTTTTTTTTTTTTTTTTTTTTTTTTTTTTTTTTTTACCCCCCAGTATCACCAAAACAACAGCTTTTTTTTTTTAAAAAAAAAAAAAAAAAAAAAGGTTAACCCCACCCCTGGGTAGCCCAATTCAGTTGTTCCGACAATGTTTTCTCCTTTTTCTGGGATGGTGGCTAATTTGTAGAAGGAAACGTCCACCGTGTTGTGGATAGGCCAAACAAGTTTTGTGTTCCCCTGTGCGGGGGTGGGAGGGGGCGCAAAAAAGAGTGCACCCAACCCCCGTGCCACATATTTATAGAGGTAGCGAAAGTGGGACCATTTGCAGGTTTGCTCTAGTGAGTTCACCTCTCATTACATCTTTTATTATGCATACGGCGATCTATATGAGTGTTACAACCCGCATGAGGGGACGAGCAAGGGGTGGGGGAGTGCCATGAAAACGGCTCCCATTCCCCTGTCCATACTTTAAATGAAGCTGCTACGCGCGCTGGGGCGCCACGTCGGTTGCCCCCCCCAGATTCACAGATCCAGGCGAACAATAAACAAAAGGATCAGTGTCCACCTAGGGAATAATTATGTTTACCTCTCAACAGTGCGCGAATTGGTGAAAGGGGAAGAAGCGAGAGAGGGAGGACTCGGTGAGCCTCACGGGGTTACCCTCATGGGTGGTAGCAATGGGAATCCTCTTGTGAATCACCCCCCGAGGGGCTTCAAATCGAGAAAGGTGTCTCTTCATCCCACTTCTCATTCACAGCATGGCATGTCCACCGAGACAGAAGCAGTGAACAATAAGATAGAACTCCTCATGCGAAGAAACACACAGGGAACCATAGACGATAAGGTGTTTCAAATTCTGTCCATAATTAACGAACACCCGAAAAACAAAAACGTGTACATAAATAAAAAAATTTTAATTGCCTTCCACACATTGTTAATAAAAAAAAAATACCATTTGAGAATTTCCAAGGGAAGCATATGCAACGACCTTCACCCAACTATCTTTCATTACATGCACCACAATGCGAGTCTACACTTAAAGCATTATCACTTAAGTAACGTGAGCGAGTTGCTTCGTGGTGTGTCTAAGTACATGCACAAGGTGAATCCAAGTGAAAGCACTAAAGAGCTAATTCAAAATATTTTTTATTTTCACTTTTTTTCCCACTTTAATTATTTTTATTATCTTCGAAGAAGGGGGAGTAGTTTCGCTTCCTTTGTTGGGGACCATGAACGGGGTCCATTCGGCAAGAAGTGTGGCCGCATGTACGAAAGGGCGGAGGTTCCGGGAGGGCACAAAAAAGGTGAGGAATTTTCCAATAAGGGTATTAACAATGAGGATTATTGCCACCCCGGGGAGGCAAACCCTTCTGACAGAACAGAACTCCAGTTGGGGACTTCTCCAAATGGAAGACTCACCGAATGTCTTCTAAAGCGAAGTAGCCCATGTGGTGATGCTAGTGAAAGAGACCAGGTCACCTTTGGTCACCTCAACAGTTACGTTGTTTTTTTGAGCAACCACCCGATGTACGCCTCAGAGAAGGTTCTACACACCATTTCGTTACTCGCGAACAAGGTTACCCAAGTAGACCTAAGCGCCAAATTGGCTCTCTCCTTTTTGTCCTCAAGCATGAACATATTTGATAAGCAGAAGGGGAACAGGCGGAAGTTCCTCCTGCACAGAAAAGTCAACTACGACATATTGTACGCTATTATAAGGGTGTGGAACGAGCAAGTGGGGGGGCCTCCTCAGGAAAAATCTCTCTCCGGGGAAAAATCTCTCTGTCGGGGGGAGCGCAACACGGATCAGCCGCCAAGTACCCACATGGACGAAGCAAAGAAAAGCGCGGCTCCACCATTTGTGCCAAATGTATGGGAGTACTCACATATAATTAATGTGTTGAAAATTTTAAAGGTGAAAAATTTCCTTTCTCCAAAATTTTCCTTTTCGGAGGACGCGGAACGGTGTCTAGTACACCTCTTCAACAGCGCCATGAGTCTCTTAAGCAGGTTCACTCATGGTACCCCTTCCGACATGATGGGGAAGGAAAAATGTGACTCTCATTGGAGTACTACCCCCACACAGAACGAGCTCAACAGCATTGCCACCATCTACGTACACACGGCAGTTCTCCTTAGTGAAGTAAAAAATGGCTGCACCCTCCGTTCGTCTCTTATGAACATACTGAATAGCTGCCACACGATTGTACTTACGTACTACCCCATGCTACACGAAAACATGATCATCAATCTGGTCAAGGGGATATACTACCAGATGGTAGCATACGCGGATATGAGTTGCTTTAAAAGTTCTTTTTATGAAATGGAGGACGTAGAGGAGGGGGGAAATTATCCCCCATGTGTTAAGTCACACGCAAGGGAAGGAGAAGAACTACTCAACGTGCCTCCTCAAGGTTTATTACACCTCCTTGGGGAGGTAACCAAATGTCTGGTGTTTCCAAGCAGAGAAGAAAAAAAGCTACCCACGAACAAACTTATAATAGTGTTGAGTTACCTGCATAAAATAAACAAAATTTGCTTTCCCTTCACCAACAAGGACATGTTGAAGGGGTGCATTTTAAAATTATTGCAGTGGATTGAAAAGCAAATTAAAAGAGAAGAAGCAAATGTGTCAAATCACCACTTATTAATATTGATCAACGTAGAGTTATCTCATCGAGGTGGTCAACTGAATGTCCCTCTCTTGCATGCATGCCTTAGGCGCCTGGAGGAGGGAACTTCCAACCTCTTTGAGAATGAAGCGGAGATCATTTTGTTCCTTTACTTTTTGAAGAGGTTTCGCGAGGCGACCAAGGTGTGGGGCGGCTGTACAGAGAGTGAAGACCATGGTCCACACGATGAAACGTTCCTCTTTTGCAAAGAAGCTGCTAGCCAGAGCAGTTTAGAGGAGGTCGACAAAATGGTCACCCGGTTGGGAGATAAAGTTACTCGCGTAGTTTTCTTCCCTAAGGAAGGCACAAAAATGAATCCATCCAGCTTGGTCAACTCGGTCAACTGGTGTAAGCAGACACCCCTCACAAACGGCCCCCACAAAATGTACGCCCTGAGGGTGTACTTCCTTGCATACGAACACATGTCTCCAACCTACCCACATGAGAAACTTGTAAAGGATGCTATACTGAACGAGTTAACACGACTCATGGAGTTTCAAAAGGGGAAGCTAACCGAGGAAGATTTCTTTTCCATTATGTCATCCCTTCTGAGGCATAAAGTTTTCGACCATAGTGCTTACTTTCTATATGACTCTTTTTTGCGTTCACGCCGGGGTCTCATCCAAATGAAGTATGTCTTCTTGGTGTTGAAGAGGATTCTTGAAGAAACTTCTGGGGGAAACTTAAACAGTATATATACGCGCGCTTCTCCTCCACCCCAAGCTGGTGTAGACTCCCCACTGCTATCCATTATAGCCACATCAAGCGATCTCATCCTGCATGATAATCAGTACCGTGAGAATTTCACTTTTTTCAAGGAGATCTTGCATGTGTATTTGGATGCGTACTTATACTTTGGAGAAATCACCTCCCAATTTAATCTCTTTCTGCTGGCCCACTTCAACAAGTTTGTTTGTACAATGGACAGGTTAAGTGAACATGAGATCGCTACACTGGTTTACCACATGGCTAGCTTTTACTACACAATTAATAAGTTTTCACGCGATGGGTTATGTGTACGCGGGATAGAAACCGACTTAAGTAGCGATAAGGTTGCAAATGAGTGGGGGGGAAAAAAAGAACAAATAAAAATTGGGGCCGACTTCATCAGCTTGTCATCACAGCGCCTATTACTTACTCCTCCCCACAACGATGCGAAGACGGATGGTGTCTCCCATGTGAACAGTCAAAGGGGGACTGTTCTCCACTCGGGGGAGGACAAAATGATCAGCTATAACGAGCAGGACGTGGGCAATAAACTGCTCCAGCAGCTTAACCGCCTCCTGGACGCATTATACACTCAGGAAATAAAACGTAGGAAATGCAATAACGACATGAAATTATCACTCAGTAATATTATTCAAGTATTTGTTTGTTTGAAAAATGCCAAGCTACAACACAGGGACTTGATGCAAGTACTATCAGCAAGGTGCGTCTCGAGCATCTTTTCCCAACAAGGGACGATAAAGCTAGAGTTGCAAATTCGCTTCTTTAACAGTGTGGTGTTTTTGGACTACCTCAATGCCGTGGATGAGGAATTTTTCCGCTTGGAGCGTTGCCACCTACGTGAAGCCCACAACACCTGCATACAACCGAGACACATTTTATATGCGCACTTCCAGCAACTGCCCAGACAAGCTATATATACAGCAAACATGTCGACGTACCTTTTAAACTTCGTGTCCATCCTGGATTATTTACCCCTGGAACATCAGAGAAGAGGTAGCCAGAAGGCCGCATTTTGGGTTTGTGAACTCCTTCGAATGTTTTTTCCTAATGAAGTTGGATGTTCCACTAAGAATATTTCTACACAGGGTAGTAAAATGTATGGGTGCTACTCTTCCCCCCCAACCAATCTTGACAAGCGAAACGTCTTTTTGCTCCTGACCCTCTTGCACCTGGGTAAATACTCTCATGTGAACATTTCCACATTTCCCCTGAAGTTCTTGCAGCTGTTTTACAGCCATATCATTTTGAGCGAATTTGCTCACCTGGGTGTGAATTCAACAGTGCGGTCCTCCTCCACCCATCAGAGCATTTACAAATATTTGGAGACTTATTTGCGGAAGGAATTTCCCTATTACGATATTCGCAACGAAGAGGAGGTGCTCCTGTTCAAAGTGGACTTGGTCATCCTGCCGAGGCAGCACAGTGATGTGTCTGCATGCGTGTGTTGATATATGTATGCGTATGTGCAGTTTTTTTTGGGGGGGAAAATTTTATCCCCTCTCGCTTCACCACACCAACTGAACCATCTGCGTTGTGTTTAGAAACGCCTGCACAGATAGGATCCCCCCAAAACGGGGTTGGCACTACGAAAAATATGTCCATTGAGCTTTGTTTAAGCTGCTGTCAGGTTGCCCCCTTTTACAACATTTCGGGGTTCCCATACACCCTGAGCATTTGCCTCAAGTAGCTAATCAGGCAGTCCAGACAAATGATGTTTTCATTTTGGTAATTCCTTTTATCCCTTTCGTCCTTCTTCCTATTAAAGCTCGGCTTGGTCTTTTGCATCTGTAGCATTTTTTGCATTTTTGTCCTCTTCCTCTTTTCCGTTTCATCCGTCATGAAATTTTTTAACAGCCTAGAGGACATGGCTCTTTTGGACAATTTGAAGCTGTACCCCATGGGTGTGGAGTTCTGTTGGCCTCCCTCCACGTCGTTCGTCTTTAAGTGGTACAAGTGGTCATTCACTTCACAGTTAACACTATCGACCTGCTTCTCCGCTGCGTCCTCGTCCTTTCCAAGCGACTTGAACTTTGCACTCCGCAACTCCCATTCATCATGTGTACTTTCTTCACTGGAGAATGAGGTGCCCCCCCCTCCGTTTAACTTAACCCTGCTCCTCTCCACTAATCGGTTATTTATATCTACACTTTTCTTTGTGCTGAATTTGGAATCGCTTTCTTTGTTAAGCTTGCTGTATATTTTGCCATACTTGAGGTCACTGCTATTGTACACGTAGTGCATGTACGTGTCATGCTTAGTATCGAAATTGAGGCTGTTCATATTAAGTCGTTTCATTATTTTGTTTCTCCTTAAATGTTTTCCCTTTCCATAGTCATCACTCTGGTCCATTTTTCGCTCCTTGTATTTGTTCTTTAATGCGAATTCACCCCCTTGGCAAGTTTCCTTCTTCCCCTTTTGCGTCTCCAAGTGGGACTTCTCCTCATTTGCATCAAACCGTTTATCTGCTCTCCCTATTACAGAGGGCAGAACTTTTCCTCTGGGGGATCTTCCTTCCATGTGGATTACCTCTCCAGGTGGATCTTCCTGTATCTGTTGCCAATTTGTGCGGCCATTTGTGTGGCCATTTGCATGGCGATTGTTCATTTTTTCTTTCTCCTCTACGTCGCCCCCCCGCGTGCACTTCTTTACACCCTTCTTTATGCACTTTTTTCTCTTCAGTTTAAGTGGACAATAATGATTAAAGGTGAACCTGACAAAATAGCCATAAAAGTGTCTCCTCCTTCTACGCTGGCCCTCCTGTCCTCCATGCAGGTCTGCATTCCCTACATACGAACAGTCGTCGCTGAGGCATAACTTGTACAGCTGAATGAGAGTGTCTACGTTGCTGCTGTCCACGTTTTTGTCTTTGTAGCATAGGAGGTTAAACAAATTTTTAAAATTATGAATTTTATTTGCGCACTTGGGCAGGTAGCTCTCGTACTTGTCTTCGCGCGCGTCTTTTTTTCTGGCCCGGGTTGCGGTGCTGTGAGCGCGACGTGTATGTGTGGGTCGCCCATCAGCGCCGTTCTGGCTACTCATGCCATTCCCCCGTTTGGTCTTCCACACGCAGTCCTCCTTGCAACAGAAAATACTCGCCGTATCATTTGCTCGAATAAATGTTTGCACGTTATGTCGGTCTGCACTTTTCGCTTCGCTTATCACTTTTTGATTTTGTCTTCGCGAGGTTGGCTCGTCCAACGGGGTACTATTACAAAAGGGGAGGTCACCTTGCGCCGCTACTGTGGGAAGTTGATCCAGGGTGTGGGTACCACACAGGTGTTCAAATTCCCCTTTCGCGTTACTCTCCATTTGTAGCGCTGTGTGAACATGAGTACTCACTTCGCTGGGCACCTTGGAAGATGTCTTCCTATACCTGTGTCCCTTTCCACGCCCGCGTGCCTTGTCGGGCTTCCCCTTCTTCCTTATGTGCACCAGCTCCAGCGAGAGAAACCCACCAAACGGAGGGATCTTCATGGAGCTCCTCTTAACCCCTACACAAGACTGGAATGACAAAATGGACGACTGGTGTGTTAAGTAAAGTATTATTTTTGGTATGAACTTCTTCCCTCCCCCCCAGCCTGTTGCCATCTCCCTGTTGAAGCTCTCGTACACCCTGACGCTTATCATGAAATTAATAACCACGTCCATCAACGACATGCCGCTGCACAGCCAGGACAGGTACTTGTTGTTATACTCGAGGGTGCACATGTGTTTGTAGCACTCGTAAATTTTTTTGTAAAATTTCTTCGCTTTGTTTTTTTCCTTCTTCTCAGCGGTCTCGTCGGTCCTCTTCGCCCAGCGCGCTTCGTCAGGGGGGTCATCAGGGGGTTCGTCAGGCGGCTCGTCATGCGTCGCTTCGCACAGGTCAAGAGACCCGTTTGGCCTTTTCTCCCCCTGTCCATGGGCACCTTCCCCCTTCGAGTAATCCCCTGCACAGCGTCCGTCGAGCCCATTTAGCTTCTCCATGTGGGGCCACTTCTCTGCTGCTCCCCTTTGCACACTCTGATACGATCTGCGTGAATCCCCCCCTTGATGGAACGCAACTGCCTTTCTGGTGGCACTTCCCCTTTCATTGAGCCCGCAATTATCCTCTCCGTTGGGGGGTTCCTGCTTTTCCATTTCAGGGGTGGCCACTCCGAGCACTATCTCACTGGAGGAGCTACACTCAATCTCCACGCTTCTATACGCCTTTCGCATGTCTAACATCAGACGCACATTGTGATACACATACGAATGATATGAACTAATAAACTGTTTAATAATTTTAATGTTTTTCCTCTTGCTACAAAACAATAAGTGGTTCCTCATGCTTTTAATTCTTTCTTGCATCATCTTCCTCTGTTCACAAGTGGGGACATCTCTCGAAGTAACACTCACTGTGTAATAATTTAGCTTCCTTAGGTCTTTCAATATGATTGACTTGTTTAGCTTTTTCTTTATTTTGTACACAGCTGAGTTATGTTTTTTTAATATTTTCACAATACGATTTTTTATATTCGACTCATCTTCTTGTGCTGCATCACTTTGTGTGATGTTGGCCCAAGGCTCGCTTAGCAAAAGTTCTGACCTATTCAGGTAAGTTCGGTTCTTCCACTTGGTGATTTGATATACTATAGAAACTTCTTCCTTGTAGTAGTCGTTCAACAATTTATACACATTAGAGTTATAAAAAATGAGATTCTTCAACCTTTTTATATATTGGTTATTAGACTTAAGGGTCTTGAGCATGAGTGAATTTCGCTCTGCTACATTCACCACGGAACACAAAACGTATATATTGCGCAGATAGGAGAGTAGGTTCCTGCGGTAGCTTCTGGGATAACTGCTGGCCATACATGCGGGGGATGGGAAGCGCCCGTCGTCATGATGCCCTGAAGAGTGCCCAGCATCACGGTAGGCGCAAGTGGGATTGGCAACACCCCCCGAGTGATTCACGTAACCAGGAAAATCGCTCAGCACATACCGCATGTAAGATTCGAATATAAAAAATATACACGCCTTTTCCAACTTACTTTCGCTTCGCCCTTTCGCCTTCATTATCTGGTTGTAAAAAATTGTTGAACTGTATCTTCCCCTTAGGACAAACTCGAAAAAAGTTCTAACATTTTGTATTAGGGTAGTGCTGGGGCGGAACCTGTCCGGTCCCTTTCTCGCTGCTCCACTGCGAGATGCCCCTTTCGCAAATCTCCTCTTAAGGACACCCCAACTTGGGTTCACGCTGTCACTATAGCTCTGCGCGTTTTCCGCCATCCAGTTCGCGCCTGCCTCAGTGTGTACGTCGCTTCGTTTGCTCCATGATCCGTCATGGCCGTTTGAACGCTTCTTATCATTTTCGTCTTGGGGCTTTTTCTTTTCCACAATTGGGTCGTCCCCACCACAGCTGGTCACATCAAAGGGTAACTTCGCTTCGCCCATTTTTTGGCCCATTTTTACGCCCTTTTTTGCGCCCGTTTTTCCACTTCCATCCAACCCTTCTGTGTTCTCCTCATCGGTGCATGCTGCCATGGAGCAGGAAACGCATTGGTGTCTAGGGGGTTCTACAAAAAGTGAATAACAATTTGGGGGGCACTTCCCACCGCTGGCCGTTTCTCCCCCTCTTGTATCGCTTCCTGCCCACTGTGACCGGTGCCGCACCTGATCGGGGCTGCCACTACCATCTGAACGAGTCATGGCATTGTGAGCAGCGTCCCTCATCTGCTTCTTCTGCTTCTGCTTCTGCTCACCCATGTGGACGTTCCCTTCACAATCCTTGTCAACCAAATTGCAAATTGAATTTGGAAAAGTCGGTGCAAAACTAACTTGGTGATTACTACCCCCTTGTAGACCCCCCAGGGGGTGGCACACTTCTAAATGGGTCCCCCGACCGGGTCTTACGTTCCGTTGTGTGTGTGGCGAAGAATCCTTTTGCTGCGGAAAAAAGTTAACCTGTGCAGGGAGCGAGCTTTTCCTCCTTTCGAGGATGCTGTTACTGTTTGGAAGGTGTGTCTGGGGGATGGAGATGGGGTGGAGTCTGTCCTCCCGTTTGCCACTCACAGAGCGGAAGTGATCACTGACCATCTGGCTTGCACCCATCATATCTGCATTCAACAAATCATGCTCTTCATTATCAAATGACAAAAAAAAAAAAAAAAAAAACATTTTTTCTGTAATGCCTAGGATACCACACATGATGGCATAGGCTGTTAACTTGCACCTCTCACTGCTGGTCGTTTTTATACACAAATAATTATTTATAATTTTTACGAGTTTATCGTACTTTCTCTTTTGCTTCTCTACGTTGATCCTTTTTTCCATTTGTTTCTGGAAGTAATTCGCTTTGCAGGTGGAGGAAAGTGTGTCCCCCCTTCCTCTGCAATTGCAAGCACAACCACAATCACATGCACAATCGCAATCACAATTACAATCACAAGCACACGCACCATCAACCGCGTCTTTATTTACATATCCAATTGGTGTGCCTCCATCGAGGGGGTGAATCGAAGGCAGAGCAACTTCAATTTGCATTTGGTTCCTCTTTTTATTCCCACAACAATTTGCACACACACTTGTGCAGACATGCAGGGCGTTGGGTTCCCTCTTCTTTCTGTCGTGGCAGAAGAGAGGCCACCCCCTTCTATGCGTCACTCTCTTGTGTAACATGCTGCAGGGATCATCATCCGTGGACTTTTTACTCACGAGTAATTTTATTGTTTCCTTTAGCCTCCTCTCCTTGAGCAGGTTGTTTAAATTTTTTTTTTTTCTTCCCACATGCTCAATTTTATGCCCCTTAATATTATGCCCCTTCAGTTGATCCCAAGGGGGGGATCCGCCCATCATGTTCATCTCCTCATCTGACTCGTGAGACGAACTCTCCCCTGGCGAAGGACCCCTCCTCCTGTTATTATAAATTGAATTAAGTTTCCTTATAGTATAGTAATATTTCCTGAGGTATTTTCCAATTCTCACTGACTGCTGGAACCCCAGGAATGTCAGATCTCCCTTTCCTTCTTTGAAGGGCCATTCATTTTGTATTTTTTTTTTTGGTGTCCTGGCCCCGTGTCTCATATAAATAACATTCGTGACGGTATTAAATTCGAAGTATGTAAAAAGGCATTTCCTGCACAGGCTCACGTTTTTTTCATAGCTGTCCGCATTGAGGTATTGGCAAGAGTAATCGCTTTTGGCTGAGTCACATGAGTTCACTGATTGGCAGGTAGATGATGACCCGATGCTTTTTTTCCTTCCTTTCCATTTCCTCCTACGTCCGGTGGGGGTCTGCCCCATGCAGTCGTCTCCATCGGCGGTGTCACTATTGCTGGGGGTCTCTTCTTCGAAGGATTTTCCCTTTATGAATTTTCCCCTTTTTCTTTCTTCCGGTTCTGCCTCCTTGCGATCCATCGTCCTTAAGAGGTGCTTCACTCAAGGAGGACCCACTCCTAAACTCTCCTGATGATCACAACGCAGTGTACAATTTATGTGTCCCCGCGTGTGCGTGTAGAAGGGGGGAGAGAAGGAGATGCAAAAGGGGGTCACAATAGCAGAACGATATATCGGGGCGGGATTCTCTTTGTCCTGTTATAGCAGCGGCAAGGTTGAAAGTGGGGGGTAACAGGCTTGGTCTGGTTGTTTCACATACCGATTTGCTTGACACCCCCCCAAGCGACGCCGTACAAGGTGGGCAAGCGACGCAGTGCAAGGTGCCCCAACGACGCCGAGCCAGGTGCGCAAGCGATGCTGTGCAAGAGAGGCTTGCCCTGAGACTGTGGCACACCCGTTCTTATATTTATACACGGCTTGCGTGGGGATAAATTCGCCTACCCCCTCGTATCCGTGCATAACCGAACAGCGGCGCACTGATGAACATATATTCCTAGGACGTGAGGAGTACAGATGTATATCTCTCTCCCTACGCCACTCTTCAAAGCATCCCCCCCCCCCTTGTCGCAATTCCTTCCAAGGCGCCGCTGCTGTGAAAGGGGGGGGGGGGGGGGTATAATCTCTATTTCACTTCCAAAAGTGAATATTTTTTCGGCATTTCAAAATTGGGTTTCGCCCCACCCCCCCTCCTCCCCTTCGCTTCCCTGTGGAGAATAACTCATCCATGCAAAGCGAAGGGGCGGTGTGACATCCATTTGAATGCTAAGCAGGCGTAGGGCGTAGCTGTGTACTGCTGCGCATGGGTATAGTGTACTTTGGGGTACATTCACACTCGTGTATAATGTGTAAATGGGTACACATGTATTTTTTTTTTTTTTTTTTTTTTTCTACTTTTTCTTTGCGCTTGTTCCAATCTCATGTGCGAATCCCCTTACAAAAAAGTGAGACTTCCTTTTCCTCCTCACGTGTGATGTGTAACCTGCCTCTTCGTAAAAATTGCATTGTGCAAGGAACGCGCGTGTACGTGGGAGAATGGAAGTTGTTTTGATTGGATAGTTGGCATATATATAAGCTTTGGTTTAGTTTAACTTTACGTGATTTTTTTTTTTTTTTTTTTTTTTTTTTTTCCCCATTCGCGGACGTTCTGCCCACAGTGCGCATGCATGTGGCCTATTTTGTTTTCCAAATGGACGTTAAAAAAGTACCATTCAGAGATGGAAAGCGGCCATCCCATCTGCACAGTTGCATGCACACACACAGGAGGGGATAAGTATGCTCTTACGCATGTGCATGTGTGTAGGGGCGCAGTTGACTGTTCCGGGTTAGGTTTTCCAAAATATGATCCTCTCCTTTTTTTCGTGAAATGGCATGAGACGCTTAATTTGAGAGTTGTGCTGCAGTTCGAACCCGTCCTCCTCTGGCCGTAACACCCGCAAAACGTTGTTGCCCCTTGGGGAGAATAACATAAACGCTACCATATCACCGGCACCCCCATCTGTGTATCTTCTTTTGTACTTACTCGAGTGCTCATAAGTGTACATGCTAAAACGATTAAAAAAGACATACCCAACTTCATTAGCTCATCAACTGGTCTACACACCCCATGGTAGCTTTGAACCCGTGTGCACTTTCCATGAGGCATTGCTTTAAGTGGAAAGACATTCATTTGGGGAGTAACCCACAGGAACGTTCGCCACAAAAAGGGGATAAAAAGAATATGCCCCCCTCAGATTCTCTCCCCAAAAAAAAAAAAATTATATAATAAAGTTTTCCTCCTTTCATGTATAACCACCTATTCGTATGGCTCCTCCCGATGTGGAAAAGTCCTCTTCTTCCACACACATCACCCTTGCGATTGAGATTGACAAGTGGGTGTGTACACATAATGCCATTCGTGTGTAGGGGGTTGTCCCAAAAGAAAAAAAAAAAAAAAAAAAAAAAAAATGAGCAGATAGTTACACTGTGGAAGAAATACATACATGGATTCATAATTACCACGTTGGAAAAAAGGAGGCACTGAAAAAAAGAGTGTCATTCAACATACACTCAGCGTGATGACCTGCTCGGGGTGGAGCCACTTTGCGTCACGCTACGGGGAAAGGACCTGTGCACCCCAATGTCAAAAAGATGATTTAAAAAAAAAAAAAAAAAAAACTCCCCCACAACAGCTTTTTAAGCGCCGCGCTGTTGCAGATGGCGGTGTTAAAGGCAGTGTGAGTGGACGTGGTTGCGGCGACGCCTGCTCAACTTTCACGCGGTTGCGTTCCGCCACATGGATAATAAAAGAAAAGTTAAGGGCACCTCTCGTTTGCGACAGGTGGTTGCACAGGTACCGTTGCGCTGGTCGGTTTGGCCAGCCCTCATTCATACTCGAAGGGGTGTGGTTTCTCCGCCCTTCAGCTCTTCTGCTCTCTCTGTGTACGCACCTTTTTTATTTCCTTGCTGCTGCCGCGGTGCCCATCGAGGTATCCCACTCCGTGAAGCGGTAGATTTTTTCACGTGGCGCATTTCATCCCTTTTCCCGCGTGTACACCTTGGAAGGATTTTTTTTTTTTTTTTTTTTCTTGGAAGAGAACATACGCCAATTAAATTATTTTACTTGGGGTAGGGCGACTCGGTTTTGTTGTCACCCGAGAGAAAGGAAAAAAAACGCATTCAAATGAATTGAGGTTAACTGAAGGCAACACGCTCTGCATCCTGAAGAGAGAGAGAAAAAAAAAAGCACATTTTACAAGAGTCAAAGGATGTTGAACCACATTGGAGTTTATTTACAAAAGGGGGAACACAAGGGATTAGCACTCACTTCTGTGTGAATATTCGAACAGGCCTCTACACCACATATATGTGTATGCCATTGTGCCCTTATCTGTGCATACCTACGACGAGGTGTTGCGTGTTTTCCTGTTTTCCCGGAGCGCGGTTCACTTCCACGCTGAGTAGGGTCGCTCCCCCAAAAGGCGGTACCTGCAGAGAAGTGAAAACCGTCCACTGATGTTGAGAATTTGAATCTCGCACACGGCTTCCCATCCCTGGAACTGTTCGTAACACCCAATTTGGATCATCCCCCCTTGAGGAGGAAAATTAAGAAGCGTCACACTGTATTCCTTTCTACGTGGTGTCATTTTTTTTTTTTTCCCAATTGCTGGCAGTACATACGAATCGACCGTTCGATCCTTCGCGGGGTCACTACTCATATTAGGGATGATCACAAGTGGGCACTCCTTTTTCTGTGCACGCTCTACACATTTGTTAATTCCCCCGTTGGAACTATACGCTGAACGGTTGATAAAAACAGGACAACCAAATTGAGCAACTCGAAGCGAAGCGATCGTGCTGAGCGAGCCACTGGACGTACAGAGATAAGAAAGGAGCATACAAGAGGAGAAAAGAGAAGGAAAAAAAGATTAAGCAAAGAACAAAGACAATCCCCCCCTTCACACTCACACCCCCTCACACACACACATACACAACTATGATGAAGAAGGTCATATTGCTTTGGTTCGTTTTCGTATGCGGAGTGTTCGGTAAGCGTTACTCGTGAGTGTTGCGTTTTTCTTTGGGGGGAAATTTTCCTCAGTGCTGCTTCCATCACGGCTTGGCTTCCTCACCACCGCCTCTTCCATCATTGTAGCTTTCCGGAACTCAGGGAACAAGCGGCTGTGCCAGGAGACGGGTCAGCGGAAAGGGAGTGTAAACTACAGGAGGACCAAAAGTGATAACGGCACGGAGCGCAAAAGGGGAGGTTATACCTATTCCCTGGGAAGCACATTTGATGATGTGAAGAAAGTAATTTCTAAGCAGCTTTCAGTGGAGGAGGAAAAAATACAAATGGAGTCCAATTTCACCAAGGTATGTTTTCGTGATTCGTGTCCGTTCAGTTGAGCGCTATCGGCGTGCGGAATGTCCATCTGTGCTTTTTATTCTGTCCCTCACCGTTGCTACCTTCTCACCACCACGGTAATGCAGGACCTGGGGGCCGACAGCCTCGACTTAGTTGAACTCATCATGGCACTGGAGGAAAAATTTAACATAACCATCTCGGACCAGGATGCATTGAAGATAAGCACCGTGCAGGATGCGATTGACTTTATTGAAAAAAATAAAAAATCGGATGTGTGAACATGTTAAAAAAAAAAAAAAAAAAAAAAAAAAAAAAAAAAAACTATTTGGGAGGTGTGTGTTACCACACGTCTGCCGTGTCCACAAGCTGCTCCCCATTTCACCACCACACCCAAAGAGGCACCCAACCTCTTGGCCACGCACTCAGTTGCTTCTAACATTTGACTCTCCTTTTTATTCTCAACATTTTTCCATATTCATTCGCAAACTAGAAAAAAATATATTAAAAAATAAAATAGTATATAAATAGAATGCGTTGTGGCTTAATACACATGCCAGTGTGATCCCACCGTTGTTGGTAGTGCCATCCTGGAGGAGACACATGCATTGTCACAAACCTACACATGCGCACCCAGCTGTGTATATTTTTTCCCGGTGATGAAACTGGTACGCTTCTCCTACCCTCGATGAGCCACCCGCCCCGGTCTAACCAAAGCTTATCAAGTGTGCTCACCTCGAACTAGGTTACATGTTGTGGAAGGGGGACAACTACCCCTGCAAGAACAATGCTAAGTGGGAAAAGGAGAGGGGTCCACACTTTCTTCCAATTCTGTTCCTTCTGTTTCTCCCCCCCTGGTTTTCTCCTTCATTCACGCGGTTCCCTCGACAAGCAAACCTTATTATTATTATCCCCCCTCCACACCTGCGCGAAATGACTTTACATTTTTTTTTTTTTTTTTTTTCGTGAAATTAAATAGATCACATTACGACCCTTTTATATTTCCTTCAAACCTAAACCCAACTCATGCTTACGCCAAAAAAAAAAAAAAAAAAAAAATTGTGAAAATATAAAAAGGGGTAACTAAACCAGTTGGGGGGGATTCCTCACCCGAGGGTAATTCTCCCCATGGCAAACTTACTGGACTACTCCCTTTTTTTTTTTCTCTCTCTCTCTCTCTCTTTCGTAAAGGCCGGCGGGGAAGTGGTAAATGAGAATTGGCTTCCCAACGGTAGAAGAAATGACAGGCGAAAATGCTTCTCAACATGTACAGCAAAAAGGAACGCGCGTTAAAAACATGTGCATGTATCCGACGAAGTAGAAGCTCCCCCACCAGAGTGACCTCTCACCTCTGTGTCACTTGGAACAGGGCATGTAGGAGTTGAAAATAACCGCTCCCCCCTTCTCGTTAAACACTACCATCAAGAGTAACCACACATGCAGTGCGAAGAAACCCATTTGGAAGAAGGCCCGCACACCTTTCCACATGGCACTCCCCAAAAGGAATGCCTTGTTAAAAACGACGGTGCTGTGCTACTACCTCCTCCTAACGGCTCCCTTTTGCAACATCACAACCACTACGCTCTGTCATGGGTTCATTTTAAAACACACACCCACGTTAGAAGCATTTCTAAGTGGAAGGGACAGCACAAAGAAGGGGCTCTCTAACGACCATCTGCGAAGGAACATCTTCAAGAACAGGAGCAACACGATGTGTGTACATGGGAAGAAGAAGGGAAAAAACAAAGAGGTGTTACATCAGGTGCAGGAAATTATAAACAAGCAAAACTTGCATAAGGGGAATGAGGAAGACGAGCAGGACCAAGAGGAGGAAGAAGACCATGGTGAAAGGGCGAAAGGAAAAGGTAAAGGCACCTCTAACCCTCGCACAGGACAAGAAAGGAACACGCAGAAAAGTCACAAGGGAAACATGCCAAAGGAAACACCCGGGGGAAAAAATAAAACAGCAGACCTGTACCTGCGTAATAATATAAGAATAAAGTCTAGCTTGACGGAAGAGGAGGAAGAGGACGGTGTTGAAGTGGGCAGGGACACGGAAGAAGACCCCCTCACAGAAGATGCCTCTTCAATGGAAGACATCTCCCCCGACGATGAGGAGGAACAGGAGGAACCTGTCACAGAAGAGGACCTAGACACCCTAAACAAAGCATGTGCAGAAAAAATGGAGAGCGTTTACAGCTATATCAAGAAGGAGTCCTACCGATTTAATCTGAACAGCCTGTCCAATACCATGTTTGAAAATGAAAGAATAAAAATAAATGACCAGAATCATATAATTAAACATATAAGTCACATTAAGAAGAAGGAAAATTTATTCATTATCACTCCCTACGACCCCTACTACGTCAATTTCATATACAACCACTTCGTAAAGGAGTACAAGGAACTTAAGTTTTACGTGAAGGACAGGTCAGTCTATGCAGTTGTCCCCCCTCTGTCTGAAAACCTAAAGAACGAAATTAGAATAAAAATTAAGGGAAAGATTGAAGACGCCAAGGGGACCTTGAGGAATGTGAGGAAGCAGATGCTGACCAAGCTGGAGAAGGTGCGCGGTCGCATTGGGAAGGACATTTATTTTGCGCAGCGGAACCATATACAGAGTCTGCACGACCAGACGCGCAAGCGCATTGAGGCCATCCTCAACGAGCTCCGCTGAGATCGTGGGGCCGGGTTAAGCAGCGTTAAGCGGCGTTATGCGGCGTTATGCAAAGCTCAGCGCAGTTAAGCGCAGTGAAGCGGGGATGAGCCCTGTTTAGCACTGTGCAAAGTCTTTGCTACCCCTCTGGTGACATTCGGACGGCTGCCCTTAATTTGATAAAAAAAAAAAATTTTTTTTTCCGTTATTCTTCTTTTTATTTTTTGAACAAATGCACAAACACGCGATTGAGCCGAGTCATTCGCACATGGTAAAAATTATGAAAAAAAAAATTAAAAAACTGGTTTGAAAAAAAAAAAAAACAGCGACGCATGCGTTAATCCAATCGTTGAACACGTTTGGGTCGGTCCAGATTTACACGGGGGTTACACAAAAACAATATAATGGAGCTAGTGTGGACAGTCGTGTCTCCTCCGTGCTGTCCTAAATGCATCCAATGAGCTTCACATTCGAGCCACACTCCGAGTAGGTAACGCTGCAGGGGTGGGGTGGTGACAGCGGTGAGATTGAAGTGGCGAAATGGTGTTTTGTCCCTCCTGGGTGACAACCCCATTTGCTAGCATTATTTTTTTTTTTTCTCTCTCTCCTTAGCATACTTTTTTATCGTGAAGTTAATAATGTCGTTGAGGGAATAAGTCTTGTTGTCCTTTATGAAGGTGTTCTGCGACGGGAGAGGTGTACAGGGGAAAATTAGGGGGGAAAGCAACACATGCGCGTATTGACATACAAATAATGTTAACCTATAACCATCTCTTAATGCGACTAAGCGCAGGGCTTTTGTTAGGAGTAGCATAAAATGGTTAACACGTAACTCGTGTGGGGGACAAAACACGGAGAGTCACATTCGAAGCACACGTGAGTGAGACACCTCCTCTCCCCACGCAACAGCACCGAGTGAAGGCACCTCGAATTGTTACATTTCTAGAATTGTAGGAGAATTTCTTAAACAATTCCTCCGAGAAGGTAGCTTCAATGATCCCAAAAACGTCCAGGTGAATTTTTAGGGGTTCTATTTTGTTAATTTGGACCTCTGGAAAAAGGGGCAGATGGAAGGCGTTGTGTGTGCGTTTCGAATGAGTGTCACAATATCGTACGGTCGCTCAGCTGGCATTTATACATTCACTGTTTTGCGCGTTTCACCCTCTCGACGGCTTACTTATCCGGTAGTCCTCCTTCAGCACCAGAAGTAAAAGATTGAAGGTTATTTTAAAGAACATCACAGACGCGTCGCCATTGATAACTTTGGGCTCCTTCTCCTTCAGCTTGATGCCGTTGAAGCATACGGTGAATCCCTTCACGTCGTGGTTGGCCCTGCGTGTGGGGAAAAAAAAAAAAAAAAAAAAGTAATGTGCAACACATCATCCTCATAACGCAGCTGAGCAGCACCCAAAGGCTCTCCAAATTATGGACTCTAATAGTCCTCATTACTTTAGCATAAAGTTGGCAAGGTAGATGCTCAACCCGTCCTTTACATTGTTCAAGTATCTCGGTTGCAATTGGGCTACACAGCTGATGAGAATGGCATAAAAAAAAAAAGAAGGGGGGACAGTGAGACGGGGATCGCGAGTCGGGTGTGTATGTGAATCAATAAAATTGTTCGAACACTTACACAGGAAAGAGGAATGTGTATAAATGCATGCACACACAAAGAGTTTCTTTCTACATTCTTATGGAGAGAGAAAAGTCTTTACCTTATGCGAACTACGTTGAACGTTTTTTTGTTAATTATCAGTTCTGAATTATCGTGAATTTTTTGCAGTGTGTTTTTTATGTTCATAAATTTGGACATGTACATCAAGTGGTCGTAATCTGGAGGAAAGTGGGAAGGGTGGAGAGAGTCAGCATGTATTTGTAGGCCACAATTACATGGTGCAAAAATTGCATAGGGAACCAATCGTAGGTGGCACGCATGCCTTGTGTAGATGAAAGGACATCCGTGTGGATGCTCCGAGCAAGTATGTGTCAGCCCTAACCTTCATTGAACTTGTTAATGATCTTCCCCAATTTACTCGTTCTTAGTGCCTTGGACTTTTGAACATACCATGGGTTTTGGGCCATATTACCACTCTACTTTTGACGCTGGTGAATGTGAGCAAATTTGCAAATAGATATTTCCCTTCTTCGTTTGGCGAAACATCCTCATGTGGTTGCTTCGTCCATATGAATGTTTTATTTATATAAATATGCTTCTATTTATATCAAGTCATGTAGGGAGGGAGGGAGTGAAAACTACGCTAATCTTTTTCTCTCTTCTGCCATTAAAGAATGGGTTACGTATAAAATAATGTATCGCTCTACTTGCCCTTTTAAAATGCATTCACAGTGAAAAGAGCGCTGCTCCACAGTTGGTCATGTTGTTACATATATACACCTCTCATGATGTTAATCTTTACACGCAAAAATGGGGGGAATATTTTTGGGGGGGCAGAAGAATAATTTCAACGTTTCCCCTGTAGCGATTTCCTAGACTTGTTGGTACACAAACTACTGCAACACGTAAACACGTGATTGCTTGCTTTTTTTTTTTTTTTTTTTCGCCTGAATGTTCATATTTTTTGGCAATTTTTTCTGAACGGTTCAAGTGAAATATGAACAAAAGTGCGCCGTATGAAAAGTTTCATTTTGGCTGTTTTTTTTTTTTTTTTTTTTTTTTTTTTATTCCCCCTTTTTTGTATACTACAATGATACAATTGCATGGTTGTTTTTTCCTTAGCAGTGCAGGTAAAAAAATTGATTACAATTGGCAACGCCTTTTTTTTTTCCTTGTAAAGTGCAGTGATGTCAAGTGTATGTTCGTGCAGTTGTTCACGCTTGTGACACGTGTTGGGCACATTTGGGGGGTCTCCCCTTTTGATTACTTTCATCTGTGTCGTGGCCACCACGACCACCACCACTAAGAACACCCAGTTTTTTATCCAAGGTTCAACTGAGAAGAATTAACCCCCCCCCCCCCCCCCGTCCCTTGCCCCTGCTTCAAAGCAAACGCACAAAAAATAGAGAACAGCAGGAGGAAAAGATGGGGCTCAGATTCCTTGCACTCCTCTCACAGGTGGTGCTACTGCTAACACTGGCACTGTGCAATAAAAACATAATCGAACTGAATTATCAAATAAACACCTTCCAAGGGAACAACGCAAAATGGAATAAGCTAGGACACTTTGTATTGAGCAAAAATCAAATTTTCAACACCTCAAATGCTTATGAACAAGAAAAGGATAAACTCATTGAGCAGTTACGCAAACCAAATTTTGATTACGTCCTATTTCAATTATGTGACGACGCAAATAAGAAGACGTGTATACAAACATATGTAGGAAAAAAGAAAATTCAAAACGTCGATGATTTTTTCCTACTTATAGGATTAAATAATAATTACTTGCCCTATATTTTAAACTACAGAACGAGTGAAGAGTTGGAAGAAGACACGCAAATATTCTCTGGCATGTTGGCTGTTAAAGTTTTGTCCGTGTCTGTGCCCATCACCATGGCTACCTTGAAAACGGAGGAGAATGTTGCCAAGCCAAAGGCGAAGTCGAATGAGAAAGATAAGGAGAAGCCGAAATCTTTTATTCGCAAGTACTGGATTTATGTGGCCATATTTTTCTTATCCTTGTCTATATCGAAGCACTTCACGGAGAATATGCAGCAGGGAGGGGGGCAGATGAGAGCGCCGACTCCCAGTGAATAGAAACTCTCCAGCAGTTATCACTTCGGCTGCGTGTGTGTAAATTTGCGGGACCGCTGTGGCGTTTTATATGCGTTCGCGTTGTCGATTTATATTCGTTCGCTTTGGCGATTTATATTTGTTCGCTTTGGCGATTTATATTCGTCCACCTTGCGTTATTCTTTTTTTTTTTTTTTTTTTTTTTTTTTTT